AAATAAGTGTGTAAAAATGTGATTACTTTTTTTCCTGATGAAAAAATTCTGCAAAAAACGAAACACTTCAGTAAAACTCTGACTTTTTCTTTGTAGAATAGATTTTACACCTTGGCTTATGCACATGCATAAAAAATACAGAACTGGCCCTAACATTTTTTTCTCCAGATATTGGCTTTTGGTAAAAATAAATTAATTTCCCCTTCTTTTGTTTTGTAGTTCTTTCTGAGTTTGGTAAGCTTCCTACAGTATTTACAGTCTTTATTGTATGGCAGTTTGCTCACCAATGCTTATTGGAGGTTATGGTAACAAATGTGAGTTACTGCAGTAGCAAAATACATGCATGGGTGTTGAGAAAGGTAAGATTTTCTGTCAAGGTTTCATTTTAGAAGGGTGCCAGCAAATCTTCTGTGAACTTTACTTCTTTTTAAATTAAAAAAAAAAAAAAGAGTAGGCAGGGGAAGGCTTATATTTTTAATCTTATAAAATTGATGCCTCCCAAGAGTTGACTTACTGGATAAGACAAATATGAACAGAAAATTGTAAGATGCATTATTCTGTTAGCACTAGAATATGCAGAGTAGGGAAAAAATTGTTTTACCTCATGGAAGACACTGATGGTTTTTGTAATATCAGAAAGGGTTATATGGAATGGCTCAGGTGACTCAGTGTCACCCAATGAAAAATTAGCATGGGATTCAGGAAAAAAGCCTTATGTTGTCTTCCATCCGAAGTGTTGTGTGCCTATTTGGAAAGAAAAGGGAAAGCCTATGCTGAAGTTATACTTGTAAGGTTTGGTAAGAAGCCTGTACAGTGCACACCATAAAGCCTGTACCTTGCTCTGATGTGTTAAACTAGAATAGCTCTTGAAGCTGTATCAAATCACTCTGCAGCTATTTAACCTCCGCTACAACAATCTGCATGGTAGTTTTACCAATATGTCATAAGGCCAGCTCAGATCTATATATCCCTGCCCAGAAGCAGTGCAGTGCAGAGCTTGGCCCCTTTTACTTAATGAGACTGATAATGTCTGTCCCAAGGAGAAGGGAAAGGGCACAGAAAACATTTGTTTCTCTTAATATCCTTGCAAAGAGGTCAACCACAAAGGTAATCTTTTTTTCTCCCTCTTCTGTTCAGCTTCTGTTCTTGTTCTCCTCAACACCACTGCAAAAATACGTCTGCACTAGATACCCTAAATAGGACTAAGCATCCTTAAGGAAAGATGTTGTCTGCAGCAAGGTTTGATTGGTGTCAGCCTGTAGAAGATGGCCAGCAGAGCAGGGAGAGGGGTGTATGTGTGTGTGTGTGTGTGTGGTGTGTATGGAGGAGAGGATGGATTCTGCTGTATTCTTGTCCTTGGGGTTTTGCAGAAATTCTGAACAACTGAAGACGACTGTGTTTGAGGGCTGTTTCCCTTTATCCACTCCACCCTACTCTGCAACAGCAACCATATAGATCTTTAAATATACTTTATACTGTTTTGCTGAATAAACACAAATGTATCAGTATTCTTCTTGTATACTAGTGCTTAGGTTTTGATAGCAAGAGCTAAGAATCATAGAATCATAGAATAGTTAGAGTCGGAAGGGACAGTAAAGACCATCTAGTTCCAAACCCCCTGCCATGGGAAAGGACACCTCTCACCAGACCAGGCTGCTCAAAGTGCCATCCAGCCTGGCCTTGAACACTCCCAGGGATGGAACATCCACAACTTCCCTGGGCAACGGTTTTTATTCAGTAACTTAAAACTTTTGTTAAGTTATTCAAATACTTTTAAGTTGTAAATTTTACCCAAGGTGGTTTAGTATATTAGTCCTTCAAAAGTGTAAGCGATTTCTGTGTCAAGAACCGGAAAGATGAAAGGTGTAAAATGTTACACTTCCAAGAAAAGTGGAACTTACAGATATGCATGTAACGATGAAAGTATTGACACATCTGACGTCTCTCAGCCAGATCTGTTAGCTTCATCTGACACCAAAAAAATCCCATCACATCAGCATAGAAGAGAACCAATATTGGCATTTGCACATCATTCATTTCTTAGGGCTATGAAATATCTACTGCATTGATGTGACATACAGCAGCAAAAAGGTTTGCATTCCTTCATTTTTGTAGCTTGTTCCATTTCGCCAGGAGATAGCTCTCCAATGTTTCTTCCTTGTTGTTTTAAATCTAGAAACAATTATAGTTGTGTTTAGGTTTTTAGTTATGATTGCTTACGCAGTAAAAGTACTGTCATACTACTCTCTGCACCTCTTATAACCATCCTAGTCCCTTTCCAATAGCCTATTTGCGTTTTTCCTTCAGCTTCACAGAATTACCTAAAAAGCTGTTTAAGCTTGCCCAGTGTAAATTGGTATCTCTTTTCCCCTCTCCTCTCCTCTCCTCTCCTCTCCTCTCCTCTCTCCTCTCTCCTTTCCCCTCCCCTCCCCTCCCCTTCTTCTTTTATTTTCTTTTCTCTTTTCTTTTCATTCACTACTAAAGAAGAAACTTGGCATTTAGTGAACAAATGCACACTGATCATTGCGTTTTTGAACAAATCTCTTGCCTGGTAAAGAACTGTTGAGTGCTTAGCTTTGCTGTGAATGTTAATTTAAAAAAATTGGCTGACTTATGTAGGTCTGAAGCAAAATCTTCCTTCAGTTTGAGAAAAAGATGGTGCTGGCTTTAGAACTTTTTTGGTTGGTATAAAGGAATTGAGAAAGTGGAGGAGGAACGTATCTCCCTGCCATGGTAAGCAAAACTATTGCTTAAAGTGTTTCTGGATGAAAGAGTAGTCTTGAACTGACTTTGTGTCTTGGACAATAATCTCCCACATTTCTGGTCTCATAATGTTATTTAACAGGGGACAGTTGTTCAGCAGCCTTAATCACATGTGATATTGTACAATTAGCAGACTGTTCGACAAAGGCTTCAGCCTCAGCTTTTTTTCATAAAATATAAAGCAGCAACACAATTTCCATTTCCTCTCTTTGCATGAACTCACCAATTCATTACAAAACACATACAAAGAGATGTCTAATAGCTAAGAAATGTGTCTGATCCGGAACAATGAAGTGATCTATCCCAGCTCTGTTAGGAGGACAATGTAGAGAGTCCTGCACCAAGAGCGGCTTGTGGGCCTCCTGACATCCTCTGGAATGAAACTGGGCAAATCGTTTTTCACCTCTGTTTTCCCCACACACTTTCAGGTATTGCCTCCTGATGTACCTTGATTTTTTGGAAATTCAGATGAGGGTATAATGGTATGCCTGGGAAAGCAGGCTAAACCAAAACCCAAACAATTCCTCCACGCTCCAAGGGTAGTAAGACCTGTAGAATCTGAAGAAGGGTCGATTTGAGACTCTAACATGGGTCACTTTGGACCTACCTGGTTTGAGATGGTGCCAGGAGATTAAATTAAGCACCTTTTTCTTTATCTGCTTGAAATACAGACATCATGTCATAAATTCTCATTTTCAGCATTAGATGAAAGTTTCAGAGTTTGATTGCTGTTATTTTCTTCTTTCCTTGACAGCAAGCTCATTATTTTTTTTTTTCTTGTAAAGAAATTGTCAAATGAAACCAGGTTGTAGCAAAGTTGAAAAAGATGGGATGCGCATGGCACATTTTGCAGAAAAATAAAGGACGTTTTAAGCAACTTTATGACGACGATTACTTTTATGCTGCTCTGTTTACAAAGCTAGGAACTTCTGTTACCACTCATCAGGCTGCAAGCGGAAGGCAACGTCTTGGTTTGAACCGTAAAACGCGAAGATGGAGCAGAGCTTAGGAAGGCGAGGGTTTCCAAGCAAGCTGTGACATCTCTCCTGGTATCCACCGCCATGAGTTCAAAGAAAACTGCTTCT